CTACGCTGATAGTCAGTTCACTGTAGGTGGATATGCACGACTGATGAGCTCTACTGAGAGCGAAACTCGATTCTAGTACCTCCGAATATGATTGATCACAGAAACTGAGAATTGTACGTGTAGGTGATGTTTGAAGGATGTCCTATTCAAAACACTTCGATTATCCTACACAGCTACTCACAAGTAACTGTGAGTGAAATATGGACACTACTTTCTGTGATGAACTCGGTGGAAAAAATGCTGTAGCTTCGAACTTAACCTCGACTGTTAGTATACAGGTATCGTACTAGTGAAATAAACTTATCGGGTACGCCCTTCAGAGAAAGGTAGCGCCTAAGTTTAGCGACATCTTTTGGTTCGATAGCCGTTTTCAGATCGATGAAAATGGAAAAGAATGTCGGTGCTCTGGAATTCGGTGAAGGGTGAAACTATGGTCAATACAGCCTGGAATAGGTCTAAACCAGCTTGGTTCTAACGCACGGTATACGATTGACGGAGTTAGATGCCAGAGAACGTTCAGGAGCAATGTTGATGAATCTAATTTGTTTTGTAAATCAAAAAGATGACCGTTTCAGCTCATTCAGTTTAAATCTGTTCACTCTCCCATACCAAACCCAGGAGTTTCGTCAGCTCCAAGACCAACGTTGAACCGCAATCCTTAAAATTCAATGGGAATAGACCATCTGAACCGTCGCCCCTTTATCTTTTGAGATAATTTATTTCCCGGTAACTTCCGTTTCAGAAGGAGGACTGATATCAACTGGCTTTGGCTACCCAGTTGAAGAAGGAGTTGGGAGGTTTAGTGGCGACAAGGGCCAATTCAATTTTGTTTTAAAATGCCCATCCCAGAGTTGCTAAATATGAATCAGTATGCGTGAACGTATGAGCGTGTGACCTAAAACCCGGCACAAAGATTTAGAAGCCCTGACCAGGGAACCCGATTACACGGGTTGCAATAATTTTTCCTGTTGGGGACAACGTGCCGGTCGTGTATTTACTCCCTATCGACGCACGTATATTTTGCTCAATTTGCGTACCTGTATTTTGGCTTTACTTCCTCCCAGACTTAATTTCTCTTCTCCATTGGTCCGCCAAGTGAGTAGACGAAGACCAGCAACCAAACTCGTTGCAACACAGGGCAGTCTAGATCGTTGTGCGCGCTGAACAGAACGGGCGTGCTCTGACTAATAGCAAACTTCCCTCGGTGTGGGAGAAACCAAAACGGTTGTGTAGTACCTATCTGGCCAAAACGCGAATCTTTATCGGATTGAAGCTTTCTTCTTATTTAAGGCGTACTGCACTGTACATCATGGTGAAATATGCCTTTACTAACCCGCTTATTTTGATTTCTTAATTAGTGAGACAAGCTGAAATAATGTCATGGTCACTGCCTTCTCTGTTTTAATTTAGATTTAATTGAAATACAAGCATACATGAATTATGCTAATGACACAAAAATTAATATGGATTTGATTGGCGGTCAGTTTCTTCTTTTCCCTCTATCGCTTGTTAAAGGAAAATAAACTGATGCAAAAGAGGGATCGGGGCTTCACAACTAAAGCAAGTTTCTCCACCCATAAAAATCCTTAAGATCATAAAACAAACGGGCAAGTTTGCACTGTGCTCCACGTAGCAATAACTAATAATAGGTGACGGTTTTTTCGTACAGCTTGGCTGCACTATGACTCTGTCAGTCAGATATTTTGTTCAAATTTTACTCACTATGCTTTTTGCCATTTCCCGGATGGAGAGCCATTCATTTGTATAGTATTCGAATTCGTAGAGCATTGTTTTGCCGATGTGAGGGATTCATTCCATGGCAGTACATTGTATACCCAGGTTGAACGACGGTTTCGTCTTTGTTTGACCTGATCAGCACCGCGTACAATTTTGGTGTTCTCCGGGGAGGCGCAATGCTCACCCCTCAATTGGATGAGTGGTTGAAACCTGGAGACCCTAGCTACATGATTGGTGGTTCTAGTAACAGGAAACTTAACTACCCAGTGCTTGGTACCGTTAATCACACTGTTCCACCTCGTTTTTAAAGGATAAATTCTCCGACTGGAATGCTTGTAGATGAACTTCAATATTTTCCGAATGTTTTCTCCTCAAAGAACCACGTGCGGTTGGTTGTATTCAACATGAGTTGCTGTACTTAATGTAATTTAACGCGTCCCCACCAATTCTCAACTGAGTGATTTGCCTCCTCCGAATCACCTCCGGAATATGAGATTGCACGGCATGAGTATCTTTAAATGTTGCCTCTTCATCGGTGCTATGCCGCAGAATCACAATCAGATACTCCTGTTCTGGGAATTTCTTCCCTTTTGGTGTACTGTCTCAGTCTCTGTCCAACAAGCTCTTCTCATTACCAATTCAAGATGATGAGACATCAGTCTTCGGGTCCATGGACGGGTATAAAAGTTTACCTATAGCTGACAAACGTTGATGCCTAACCGTTAAACACTTGTTTGAGAACATGCTATTCCCTTTGTCCTAGGGATCGGTTATCTAGTGAATATTTTTTTTAGAACAGAGCCCCAAAAGTTATAAGTTTGATTCACTCCATCGCGATCCCTCTTTCCTAGTTTATGTATTTCTCGAGGCAGACTTTGACTGACCGCAGCTCCATGCTTAAACATTGACTGCATCATCATATATTCAATAAGCAACAAACTGTTGAAAAGATATTTTATATAAGTATATTGTTCCCGTACTATCTGATCTGATCTAGTCAAAGAGGACATCCGAAATTCACCTCATGATCTTCTTTTTTCCGGCACTCCATCTAATGAAGCACTGGAAGACTTTATGTGAATTACACGTGGCTTCGTGTTGTGTGCAGTTCACACGCGTCTGAATCTAGACCGTGTACCAAACAAATCGCGGTAGAATAATCTTTATAAAAGTGTAAAAATTTCATGATTAGCTATGGGTTTGCCTAAAAGATCCTCGATGACACTGCAAATCCACTGATGTTTCACAATGTTTTTGTTCTCAAACCGTGACTCATTCCAAATTCTTCATACTTCTTTCGACGGCGAGTCTCACTTTCCGTATACAACCAGTGTACTTATCGACAGGAA